TGTACGTACTACTATATTAAATAAATATAATTTATAACTTATGAGTTATGGTGTTACATCAATATCCAAAAATATTAATTACAAATAACTGACAATTTGTATATCATCAATTCAGCAAATATTTATCATTTATAATAACTTAGCTCATAATTTAAATATTATAAGCACTCTTTATACAGCATGATATTTTTTAATACCAGTGATTCGTATTTATTAATAAAACATAAACAATTATTACTAATTTAAAATGTAATACCTATTATATTTTATCAAGTTATGAAAAAATGTAAAACTTAAGTATAATTGCTTAATAATTACCTACTTTTTAAAGTCAATATTAAATATTACAAGAAATAAAATATGTATAGCTTTAATATTATAAAAAACCAATCATAGTATGTTAATATAAAATACTTTAAGGATACTTACTAATAGGTATTGTTATATATTCAATAATTTCGTTTTAGATTTATGAGAAAATTCACAAATATCATCTTTCGATAAAAATATTACATAATATATAGATATTAAGTACTATAAATAAATAATTCTGATATTATATGTCTATACATATTGTGAAAGCCAATTTTTTAAATAGTTCAAATTATTCATATTACAAAATAAATTTCTATATTTATAATTAATTTACAATCCTATTTAAAAATTATAAGATATTTCAATAAAAATACAAAACCACTATTGTATAAATAAGATTTTCTAGTTCAACTACCTATTATAAATTTATTAAAGTTAAGGTTTTTAACTAGATAATTGTTCAAATTAATGCAGACATGAATAAATAAACATGTATCTAATTTATATATTTAATTCAAGTACTCCATTATAATTAATTATTATAATATTATATTTTTATAACTTCTTACTATAATATGTCTAAAAACATTTGATAGCAAAAAATCAATTTTAACAGGACCAAACACAATTACTTATATTAAATATGGAATTTAATTACTATACCTACACCTACTAAGAAATAGACATTTACGACGGATTATAATTATATATTTATATATATTATATATTGTATAAGTAAGGTTAGGTTAGGTTACCCCGGAAAATTACACATGGTTTGTTATATTAATGTTAATGAAATAGGTAGGTGATTATACAAATAAGTATTTGAAAAAATTATAGAAACTGAACAAGGGTATAAAAGTAGGTATAGTGGGTACAATTATATTCTAAGCCAAAATCACAAGATCACAAATACCAAAACGCGAATACGCTACCTACCTACCTATTTACGTTAGACAAATAATCAGCGTGTCTTTGACATACAATTTGGAGCCAGACCAAGTCACCCCCTTTATGTTATATTCAGTTGATGAGATCCTTCCGATCCATACACAGAGTTTACTGTCATCTATATGTTTTCTCTTGGCAATTTTACAGACGCATGTAAGTTTACATTTGTACTTAATTTTTAATGCTACGATTGAAATGGACAAGTGTCAAAAGAATCGCTGTTTTAACATTTGATAGCTTTCTTATTACATTATGTCAAAGACATTTACAGTATCTTATTTCGTTTAATCCGTAAAAATTGTATTACATAAAATGATACTTATTTGATATCAAAAGGTTTTGAATTCAATAACTTTTACAACGTAAACAAATATCATACTAATTGCATTTCTTTATATTTTATTCAACGATTAAATTTTCTTCTATTTAATCAAGAAAAAAACAGGTATAATAATTAATAAGGAACAATTAAAATACAAGAAAAGTAATTATTGTTATGAATCAATATTTGACAAGTTTAAAATTATATTGCTTAATTGGCTTGTTCTAATAAAATTAAAACAATGAAATATGTTTATTAATTTTTATTATTATAATTGTTGTGTTCGTATTTTATTTTTATTGTCAATGTCACAAACTACTATATCCTCATTTTTATATTCTTGATATTGTTTTTATTTATTTTTATTTTATAGTTTATAGGTACTCTGATATTTTGTCAAGGTAAAATTTTTACTGCACTATTACTTATCAAAAGGTATTGATCCGTTCACAATAAATAAGTAAATAAAATAATAATCATATAGAACAAGAACATACCTATTATTTACTACTTATTAGTTATTAGGTAGGTAGTAGGTACCTACAATATTTCTTTATTATCGTTTCTTTCTGTGAACCTTTTATTTACTTACTATATATTATATTTATTTTGTTCAAATTATATATATAATATTTTAATAAAAGATGAAATAATAATTAGTTAGACTATAATGTTTAGCCTATAGTAACATTAAATATGGAAAATACATGGGAAAACATTTCTATTTTTACCCATATGCAACTCTCTTTTAATATGAACGCCTTTTTCAATTACCCACCTATTAATATATATCTTACAATTGATTATAGCATGACCTATTATTTAATATTATTATATTATACATGGCATTTTACTTTGTAACAACTAAAAAATCGATGAACTCTTAATATTCCGAGAAATGCATTCTTACGTAGATGTCAATAAATTATAAATTATAGAACAAAAAAAACAGTTGAGTCGTAAAAAAAAATTTAAAAGCAACAATGAATGTAGGTAAATAAAAAAACTATAAATTTAAATATTTGATAAATTAAATTAAACTACAGTAATATTAGAATTAAAAACCATTTATTCTATTATAACTAATCATAAAGAATTAAAATATTCAACTTTCTGGGTTAAAATACATTTAACTAAATAAGAGGGTATTCAAAGAAATCTCCAAGTATGTATAAAAATCACTTATTAAAAAAATCGGGATATTATCACTATGCTATATAGCAGGTGTTCAGCGTACCTCGTCATTGAGTAGGTAATTGTAATGTATATATTAAACTTAAATTCATCGATAAAGCATTATTTACATCTAAAAATGATACCTATCTAAGGTATCAACCTCTATTTCTAAGGATATTTTTAAAATGTATTTCTATTACAATTAGTAGCTTATTTTCCTATCAGTAATAGGTATTTTAATTCAAGCTAATTATTGTAAAAACTTTACTTGTGTAATTAACTATGATATTTAGACTAATTTTAATCTAATTATAAGTACTATGAACCAATCACAATAACTAGTACAAATAAAAAATCAATTACCTATTATTTATTATTATTATATCATAATATCAAACACATAAATACATTAATATATTATTGTTACTAACCTGTACATTAATACCACATACTGTAAATACAGGTTAAATATAAAATATATTATAACCTATTTACCAATACCATAAACGGCATAAACCTATTCACATTGTTCTACTTACAATACCTATTAGGTACCTACCGTTATATATAATGAAAATTTTCAAATTCCTTCGAGTTTTGAAATATTTTTTGAACTATAACATAATAATTAAAGTTGTTATAAAAAAAAAAAAAAAACGCGGGTCATAGATCTTAAAGAACTAAATTTCACTTCAAAAAAGTTTTCCGAGACTTCCCTTAAGACAGTTAAGACGAATGAAAAAGTTATCGTAATATTATTATACACGAAAATATTCAAAATGTTCATTAGCACAAAGTACTTAAGTATTAAATATATGAATATAACCTGCAACTAGATTATAGGAATATAAAATACAGAACCGTATAAATACTCAAAATTATAAATATATTTCAGACTTTATTTTTAGAGAAGTGAAAACAATGTTTTAGTACCACCTACATAATAATCATGATATAATAGGTAATAAGAATATAACATTGACAATCTCTGAAATTATATTTATTAGTTATTACTTATAGTAAATTGATATTGCATTCGAAAAAATGGTTGAGAATTTGTTAAAAACGTAGGTATGCTTAGTTAGTTACATACGTATCTAAATATTTTATTTGAAGTTATTCTTTTGTTTTGCATAATTCTCACAGCTATCTATGTTTAATTTTCAATCTATATCTACCTATGCTACATGGAACTTTTTCATAATTTACATGTTGGTTTATTTGTAATGTTATTTCTTATTAAAATATTGATACCATTAAATATTGAAATTTGAAATACCTAATGTTTTCGTATAAATTTGAAAATATGTATCGATTATATATTAAACAAGTACCTAGGTATCAAATTTTCAATATGCCCAGATACACTTATACAATCGTTCTATGCGCTGACCATCCATAATAAAGTTGTATTTTTGATAGGACTATTGCTAGTGGCAAACTTGAGATTTTTCAATGTTGTGGTAAGTAGTCTAAGTACAGAAAATTGAAGTTAGTAGGTAGTAGGTACTGTAAAAAATGGTTTTTCATTGTAAACAATAAATGTATTAAGTATATAGATAGTATAGCATTACTTTATGATTATACAGTACAATAGTACATGTATACTATACTCACTTGTCAATTTTCATTTATAAATGTTGGTTAGTAATAGTATATGGTTTTATGTTACATAACATAAGATATAATAAATTATATTAATATTTTAATTTTTTTTTTAAACTGTGATAAAATGATTTTTTCAAAATCATTCAATTGCATTATTCTGGGTGCCTTTAAGAAAATAATTTCACAATAATAAAAATAAATAAATAGAATGATATTTTTTTTACATAATTTTAAGTCATTAAAAAAATAAATATTTTAATAAATCATATTTTGTACCACTTTTGATTTTGAGTAGAAAAATGAAAGTATTGATTTTATAATGAATGTATGTTATTTTTTTTTTTTACGTGTTTATTTACATAGTGTGTAGATGGAAAAATGATTCAATATTAAAATTTGAAGGTGATTTTTTATAAAAAACTGGATTTAGTGGGTACTTTTAAGAGATAAAAATTTAAAATTTCCAGTACTTTTTAAAATAGTTGATAAAGACCATAGATATCTAGGTACTCGAAATGTTCTTGAAATGTTTATAATAAAAGTATTTTTTATAGGTATATGGTATAATTTTGACTCTTTTTGAGCTATTTATAAACATTTGACATTTTTGTTTGGTTTTTATTTTAGTTTTTTGTCTACAAGTTTGTATGCAAGCTGCAAATATTCAAGTATTACAGTCACACAAATATTTTCAGAATGATTACTTTTGGACAACATTTTGCCATATCGTTGGCTACTCAACAGCACAAAACTAAAAATCAACAAGAACACCAACAAGAACATCAAAATCAACCAGAAACAGCACCAGGAGGAGTTAATATTCTATTGGGAGGGTAATTATAATAAAGTATATTTAATTACAAATGCATATACCTGCCCAATATTGATTGAATATACAATTTGCACAAAACCACAATTACAATGCACTTCAGAAGCAGTTTATACCATACCAAACCAAACATTTGAATTGTATTGATGTTCTAAAACATCAATTTTACGGTATATAATATTGTATATAATTAAGTATCATTTAAAAATATTTACATTTTAGATATTATAAAAAAGTTCATTAAAATAACTAAAATTGAACACATAATTGTTAATACTCTATTCCTATTATAATCATTGTGTATTGTTTAATAACAGGGTTATGATGAGTAGCATGATATTATTTATTTTATGGATGTGTTATTGTTGTCGATGGAAAGACAACAAGTTTGATACTACAACATGTGATGAACAGCCTCAACCTTTTTGGATTGATGTCAATTCAAACACTTACTATGAAGCATTGCAATGGTCTTTACAACAAGTAATAAACACTAATAATTCTTTAATAATATACAGAACAAAAACAAGAAATAATGTTTTATGGCTTAGCTTCATAAACAGATATAAATATGTTTAATCAGTTTAGACTAATAGTTTGATTATTAACTAAACTTTTATTACAGTTGATAATGAATACAACATTGAATATAGTTGAGTGATTATAGTGAAATAACTACTTGAGACATTAATCGTTATTTAATACTGCTATCTATACTACTAAACCAAATAATTTACAAAAGTACTAAAAATCATAAGACTTAATAAAATATTTTTTTTAGGAATGTTGTGAAATACCAGAAACATATTATTCACCAGAGACAATGCAAGAAACACCACCAAGATACGAATCTGTAATCACACCACCACCTGGATATGAGGATGTGATGAGAGAAGATTACAAAAAGAAAAAATCTTTAATGGATATCACAGAAAATAATAAGATGCATACCATTTGACCACATTTGTTTTAAGCTTATATATACTTACATTAAATTCTTTACACTAGGAATTACAGGGGAGTAGAAAATCTTGACAGATCTGTTTTGTTTTGTACAATTTTATTTTATTGTTTTTTGTAAAAATATATTATACATTTTACTTATAAATTATAGTGATTAGATGTAATTTGGTAAGATGTATTTAAGTATAAAAAATTACCAGATAACAATTTGTTTTTTTCAAAAGTAATCATATCAAGATTTTAGAATTATTTTTAAAAAGTTTGACATAAAATTATATTAATCAAGCATTAAACGTGCTTCTTTTCCGTTGATCATGCGTTTCATTCCATGTTTCAGAGCAAACTCTCGTTTTATATAAGCAAATAATAAATCAGTGATCAGGAATATCTAGAAAAATATATTAATCACAATATTAATTAACAGCAATAATCATAAATTTTTGATAAAAAAATATATCATATTGATCATTAGTATAAATGCTTTTTTTTCATGTTAATATTTTATATAGAAAATAATAACATTTTTAATTCTTACTTGAGTTGTGGCAAAAGCAAGAGTAACACCAAAATAGAAATTTGCATTTGCTGAACGTGAATAAATCCATAAATGCCACACAGTAGGGGCAAAAACAGTACAACCCACAAAGAAACATGATACAATAAATGCTTGTTGCATAACTGAAAATTAAAATTAAATTAAATTTAAAAAAATATGAATTTTTTTTTTAATCTTATTAGTAATTTTAATTATAAAGTTGACATACAATAGAACAGATGTCTATGAATCGGAAGAAGACTGAGGTAAAAGCCAACATCTCCTATGCTTGGATATGACTTAAAAACTGCTGTTAATGTTAACAAACTGGTGGCTAACAACAAAGGGTCACGACGAAGACGTATACTTAAGGGAATCACATATAGAACAGATGCATTCAATTGAAAAGCGCAAACAAATAATGCACGAAAATGTTCAAACATCTCGGTAAAGAAATACCAAAACAAACCAATATTTGGTTTTAAATCACGTACATTTAATCTGAAAAATAAATTAATAAATAAATAATTAAAAACTATAAATTAATATTTTATTAAAATGTAGTATTTACATAAAACCATAAACAGAGTCTATGAACATCCACTCATTCATAATAGTATAGCATAAGTATAGTAGTAAACAGCTAATGGTACCACAAGTTAAAAATGTAATTATGAATGAACCAGTCTTTTTCTTAGAGTCAGTCGGTGCACAACTTATCATTAATGGAGCTATTAAACCAAATGTGTAAAACGTTGGCAATGATGCTAATACTAAGCTCAGACATCCTAATAGTCTATGCCCTACAATAAAAATAAATATTCAATAGTTAATATTAAATGTTGTTACTTAGGGTTGTGACCAAACAAATGTGGAATTGGTGACTCAGTCTTCAGCTAATATAAATTAAATGTTATAGGTAACATCCACATGCTGACAGCAGGGAAATTTTTAATTTTTAATTTTATTGTAAAAAAGTACTATGATTAATAGTATTTGAATAATTTAAAGTTTTATGCTGAATAAAAATGGTTAAATAATTTGTTTTTAAATACTGCGACAACCATGTTTGCTATCTAATGTGAAATCACCTCATGGTAAGTAAAGCCACTAACTGCATGTTTGATTGGCCACAATTATAATAGCAGTATTTAGGACTTTTTATAAAATTTAAAATATTTCTATCATTACAATACCTATGATTACATTTTTATGAAAATGTAAGTACTTACGTTTTACCATAGAATATAAACATACTGCTAAAAATAGGTTGTTAAACACTGTAGTTGTTCTTGCAATACAGCTAAACACTGTATAAGGGTTAAGCATGTAAACTGAACATACATAAAATGGGTTTATGATTGAAAAGTCATCTGGTATCAATAATTTGTTGAATTCTTTATTGTAGACATGTTTTGTTTTTGTTTGCTGTTTAAGCTAAAATAGTATTAAAATTAAAAATATATGTAGACACTGAAAGTATATAGAATAAAAATAAAATTGATAATATATATTTAACATACCAAATTTTCAGTGTAAATTTTAGATGTATAATATAACACAACAGCAGTAATGAGATCGCACACAATAAATATTAATGATACATAAAAATCTGAAAAAGTTGATGTCAAGTGACTAAAAAATACAAGAGCTAATGGAGTCTCGTGAAATAAGTCCCCATCATACGGATTGATATTCTCATTGTATAAAGATACGCCTTCAATAACTAAAAAAAAAAAATTAAATTAGTCAAATATAGAATAATTCAGTTGCTATAAAAGCAATTGTATTTTAAGTATTTAATATAAACAATATTCAGTTTTTAATCATTTAAATATATTTCTAGGTGTTTTTTTTTTTTTTTTTATGGGTTTTTAAAGCATTATAAAGATTTGTATTGCCCATGTCAGTTTTACTTTCTCTTGTGTCTATATTTTTTTATAAGGAATAAACAATTTTTTACTGCTTATTTTGGTTGGCACATAACAAAAAAAAAAGAATTTTAGGTACCTATGTCAATTAAATTAACACAATATATTTTTGTTTTAGAAACAAGAAATTTGGATTATCATAAAATACATGCACAGGTACATAAGATCTGATAACAGTAATGATATGATGAAATAGCAAAGAACTTTAAATCGTATAAATTATAATATAATACAAAATTTGAAAAAATAAATAATTCTAATAATATACAAGGTAAATATTTACCATGCAATTTGTCAACAGTAAATACAGTAATGTAGATAAAATTACACATAATACAAAATATTTGCAATAATCATTAAAGTATCTGCACAGGATAAACATTTTTTAAAAGGTCACACCCTAGTTTTATTCTTATAGCTGTGGTGCAGATGCAGTTCTATTATATACCAAAAAAAAAAAAAAACAAACTTATGTAATTCTAATTATTCAAACCTCTTTTCCAAGAGTTCAACGGCGTTGACACTTCAACCCGGTCTGCAATAGAAGTACTGAAATCGCTGGAGCTCAAATAGATCCTAATAAGGATTCCAATCGAATACACAAAAAACAGTAATTTTTCCATAAATGACTGGCGATTTAACTCTTAATCTAAACGCTATGTGAACATATTAAATTTAAATTTGATAGGGTACGTAAAACGAGACATATTTTTCTTGATTGCTTCTGAATAGAATAAATACAATATACTCGACTTTGATAGTTGACACCTTGTCAGTTGTCACTTAGTAGATAATTTTAAATCGTTAAAATAATAAAATATACTAAATTAATAATGTTTATCGGTATTCGGTATAAAAAGTTGGATCCCGATAAACAGTGATAAGCGTGATAAGCGTTTCAGAAGTTCCTCCATGCTCATACCAACTTAATTAGTAATTACTAATGCTTAGTGTTAAAACACTTAAAACGTTTGAAACACTGATAAGTGTTACTTAGGTAGGAGTACCTGAACAAATAGATCAATGACTGAACAGTTAAAAAATTTAAAATACAGTTTATTTAAATGTACTCGGTTATTCGAATTAAAATTTAGTTAGAGCAAAATTTATTCCAATGATTTAATAAGAACAAATGTACAATTGAGTATAAAACCCAATTTTTTGTTTTTATTTTTGAAAAAAATATGTACCTAATGAAAATTAAGCATTTTCCGAGGAATTCGTTTTAAGGTATCCAAATTATTAATATTCTAGTATTATTATTTATTAATACTATATCTACATTAAAAATATTAACATTTTTCATAACTCGTAGAAATTAGATTTTTAATGCATTTCGATATTTCAAACCCCTTACCGAATTCGAGCAATCGATAATTTAAAGTTTTTCTTAAATCCCTAAATTATTAAATTTTGGACTATTGAGAGTCGTCTGTTATATAACTTAGCTTAAACAACAAACTCAAGTACGTCATACAAAATTTCAAACAGAAACTAGGTACCTATAATACAAATCAAGAATCAATTTGAAACACGGATGGACATGTTAATATGTGATATAGATACCTAAGTAATAAGATACGTAGGTAGGTAACACAGTAGTAATATAATAATACTGATATAGTATTTGCAAGCTATTCAAAAAAAAATTTACATGAATTAAAAAATGTATGACATATTAACATGTAAATAATGTATGTATAATAATATAAATACTTATTTTATAACACGGCAGTATATTATAGTTTTAACTCTGAATTAATGTATATACAGTAGAGCCTTGATAGTCTCGACCCCGAAAATCCGGTGAACGCAGTAATTCGGACGGCATAAATTCATTTATTCGTAAATACTTTTGTAATTTATTCGGAATTCTTCGGAAAAAAATTACTGACTACTAAACATAAGTTCTATTATTATAAACATTTTTTTTTTTTTTTTTGTAATTTATTATGTTTAAGTTATTTATTATTTTTGTAATTTAAAGTGCAATAAATATAAAGGAGGTGGAATTAAAAATAAAAATCTTAGTAATTTGAGTAGGTAATCTTGAAAACGCTTCGGCAGTCTGCAGTGCGGACTTCGCTCGAATCGGTAATCCGGACGACGCTCGATCTGAGTTCGTCCGGACTATCGAGTCTTTAATGTATTTGACGAAAACATTTAATGCAAATCTTTTCACAATCGAACATAGTACAACATATTAAAATAAATTAAATAGAAACAAAAATACCTAATAATAATTTTCATTTGTCGGTTTTAGTAAAATATTTTAAAAACCTATTCTTATTTCTAATAACTTACTAATAATTAGGTAAACTTAGTAGAAGAAGCTAATATTAAACATGTTATATTATGGATTATTAATGCAAACAGTGATAAAGATAGGTTAGGTATTTATTAATTCCGCTACTTTATTTTTTTTAAATAAGTACAAAACGAAATATTTGAATTTTTTATTATAATCTGCATATTTTATATTATATATGCATATATCCCATCTGTATCATTTCTGAAACCGATAACCTAAATAACTATGATAATAATGTATTTTATTGCTATTTTAATAAATTTTTAGCAATGACTAACAAAATGTGTATTCAATTCTAAAAGTAAATTTGAAAAAAATTAAATGAAATTATAAAAATTGAATGTAACCAAAGTAGTAGCGTACTATGTATATAGTATAAATCAAAAGTTATGATTTATAATTTTAACTTATAATAGAGATACACATACAAATTCATGAATGATTTTGAACCTAGAACAAATTAATTGAGATGAGTCAATTCAAATAAAATGACGATCGATTACAGATGACAAAATAGATTCGAATACTTACCACCCACTAGCACAACAATGATAAGTCTAAAAAAATAATAACTTCATCAAGTAAAATCAACGAAAAATTATAGATTTGGTAAAATAAAACAAAATGTTATTTAAAGTATTTATTTGATCAATATTTATAATTAATATTAAAATTAAAATATAGTATTATGATATATTAAAATGTATAGACGCTATTCATAATTAATGATATTGATCGAAATTAGATTTGCCAAAATAAAAGCTAAAATGTGAGTTTTACCTGGGTATTACTGATATTTAACCAATTTCAAATTTTGCACATAATATATTCATGAAAATCTGTCAGCTATTATCACCGCCATTTTTCTATTTAATAATGAAGATATTCAAAATCTGATTTTTGTAATAATTAAGTATATTTTGTATATTTATGTGTTATGTTTCCAATTATTTTTAATTTTATACCATAAAAAAGTGTCGTATGGTGATAAAAACTTTTTTTATCAATTGAGCACCAATCTTGTTTACTGCAGATTATTCAGCCTGATGAAATTTAAGTTGAGAAACACTGCTATAGAATAATAATTACTATAATAATGTTGATAAAAGTTTCGTGGTAATTCTGAAATGTATATAAACTCCAAATAGTTCAAATCCTAAACTGAGAGGTTACTGCAACAAGGTATATTAGTCCACTAAATCTTTTGAATGTTAAAACTAAAATTTAATAAACAGTAAGATACTTATAATTTTTATTTATATTTTATTCTGTGTCAAAAAAATTACATGGTAAAATATTAACGTTATATAAAAAAAAAAAAAGAATAAACTAAAATAATTTAAAAGAACATTTTTTCTTAGGTAGGTACCAATTTAAGAAAATAGTTTTTTTTTTTATTCATAAAGCAACATAAAAGCGACGATATGTATACGTATTCTAATACAAAGTAAATATATTTATAGTTTTTTTTATTGAAAATATACGATACAAAGTTAATGTTTAAAACTAGTATAAATTTTATATTTCATGTACTCTATTCATTTTTACAATATGTTCTTTACGGCTTTTAAAATGGGATACCTATTTGCGTCGCACAAGCCTCTGGCGTCGTCCAAGGACAGATCCATTAACGCTATACCTCCCAAATTGTTTTGTTTCACATACGTGGCTTTTTGTTTGGCTGTTTCCGGTTCCTCGAAACTAATCCAAATTCCCTTTACGTCGTCTTTGGGCAAACGGAAAGCATAAGTTCCGAGATTTTTGCTTGCATCCGGTACACGTCTACAAAAATTTAAAACAATATGCACATTATAACACACCATAGGAAATTTAATTTTTTCTACATAAATATAAAAATTTGCTATAAAATATTTTCTTTCTGCAACATTAAAAAACATATTTATAACTTAAGTACTTTTTTTGATAAATTTATAAATCTATTATTTGTTTAGTATCTATACTATTAGCCTGTAACGTAACCGCCAACCGGGGGGGTTTAGATATGAAAGAGGGTTCATAATTTGTTATATAGGAAATTCCTTAATTAGGATCTCTCATAATAAGTTTGGTATGCTGATGGATAGGAATATTTTACATTTTTGCTGCAACCTTTATACAAATTACAATTTCAATACATAATTACGTCTTACGTCACATGATTACTGCCAAATACCGAGCGCATGATAATATTTTCCTAAAATTTTGAAGAAAGTTGCAACTCCTTCAATCACTACGTTACTGATTTTAGTCTTATAGCATTAAATATAAGTTACGTTTAAGTTACATAAAATTAATAATATTATAGATTTATGTGTCACTAAACTATACTACCAAGGATACGAAATTCATTTGAATTAATTTATATACAGAATGATTCTTTAAAAAAAAAAAAAAAATCCCGTTAAACCTAAGGTGTTTAAAAGAAAATGATTTTTTAAATTATTTAAAGTAGATACTTTCGCTAACATATGTCCAAACATGAACATGCACGACGAATATGGTGTTTTGTTTTAAAATAATTGACTTAAAAAATATAAATTATATTTTTAAATAATAATATATGTAATTATATAGACAAGATAGACAATATGTTATTTAATTATCTATTTATAGGTAATTCTCTTACTACAAAACAGTCATTTTCTTAGTCAATATACGTATATTTTAGAAAAAAAAAAGTCTTATACGATTTCAGTTATTATAACAATACGTATCATTATTTTTTCTCATTATAATTTTTTAAGAATTTTAGTTTTTCAAACAACATATATTTTAAATTTCTACTAAAAAGTTGAATACTTTTTTAAGGATTTCTATGCATAAAAATTAGTTTTAATTAAATATCAAGTTAACTAATTTTAAATTATAATAGTAATAAAATTATTGATGAACGAAGTAGTGTATTAAATTTGCCTTCTCTGAGTTATCTACACTATGAATACCACTCCATTCATCTAAAGTTAAAGTACATATAAGTATGAATAATTAACTATCTATTAAAAATTGTAGTTATATATATAAACATTCTCAGAAAAACAACATACTTCGTATTTCGTAACATGATTATATAAATTAAAAAATATGTATGTTGTCATTTCAAAACATCAAATAATTAATAGATATCATTTTTTATTAAATATGATGTTATAATGACTTAAACGATTAAGACATGCAAAACTAAGCTTTTAAAAATACGTATTTACTAATAATTAATAAAATAACCGTTTAGTAATAAGAGAATTGAGTTGTACAAACATGATTTAAAAATATCGATGTATGTAAAAATTGTTCGTAATATTGTATGTGTAAGTACCTGTAAAGTGTAAGTGAAGTAGTGGCCGCAGTGCTCTCCACTAAGTGAGGGCAGATCTCGTAGTAGGCCAATAAACCTTCGGTCTTGGTATACGTGCCTTCTTCGCCGGGACCGTCGGCGTTGACGGGCGGTGCTCCAGACTTACCACTGTCCTTATCCATCTTCCAGGTCCGGCCAAATGTGGAGATGCCCAAAACCAATTTGGTACGGTCAGCTTTCAGAGCAATTGCTTTGTTTACCTGCGATTCAATGTTCTGCCAAGCTAGACGGTCGGCGTACACAAACTTGAAGGGCGACGCGTGGTCGGCTAATTTAGGCACTCGGTCCGGAGTTCTAAAGTCATACGTCATCAGCGTGAAGTGATCCACGTACTTTTGCAGCCCCGGGAAATCGAAATACACTATCAGACAAACAGAAAAACAAAAATTATACAGTTGTTCTTTAATATATTATTATAAATGTATTATGTACATTGTACATTGTACAGAGTCAAACAACTACCGGTCCTGGTCTACTTATACATAGATATCATCATAATTAGGAATGCACGATCATTTCTATCAAAGGGTAAATTTTTTTTAGCTTTATGTAAAACATAACTTTTATACCAAAAATTTAAAATTATAATTTTATGTAACAACAAATTCAATTTCAAAACTTTTATTTTGCATTTTAATGATTTTTTTGATAATTGTTCAACAGGTAGTATGAAAGTATATATTATTCGATGATCATAATTAAACGATTTTAATATATTTATAAATATTTATAAATAGTATATATATAATATAGTTACCGCTAGAGTTTACGTGTGGAAGAATGCTGACTGAAAGATAAGGACAATTGTTGGCGTTCAATACTCCTTTAACTTCGCGGACCAGTGCAGTGAATTGTTCTTTGTGCTCGGCTTCCTTAGAGTCCTTGCTAGTGATGCCCACTGTTTTAGCCACTTTGTGGATAAAAGATCCTTTAAAAACGATAATTTGATATTAGGTAAAAGTATACAGCAAACAAACAATAATATACACACTGTTGGTGGCGTTATAACAATTGATACAGTGACTAATAAAATATAATATGCGTTGCGTATATTACTATTCTGTACACTACTCCAATATATAAACTAATATTATAACTATTAAATATACAGCTTACCCCACGTGTGTTTTTCCTTTTTCTCATTAACAACTGGGAATTGCCATGCCAAGTCTATACCGTCGAAACCATTTTCCTTAGCCATTTCCGAAATGGTGGACGCAAACTTAGTCCTCGATTTTGGTGTCTCCAGCTAAACACATTAAATACAATTTTAGATTCTGAGTAAAACAATAATAGTTGAGAAATAAGTTATTTTATTTTATTTATTTAAGTACCGATTTTTTTTTTTTTTTTTATGAGCACTCGAATATAATATGATAGGTACAAAACAAATCTATACAATTCAAGCATTCAACGGTTAGAAATTTCATATAATTACTTTATATTTTTAATAAGTATGTATTATTTAGGTTTTTCCAATAATAACAATAAATATTTGCAAAGTTTTTTTTTCAAACCATATTATTTTTCAAACCAAAGAGCTTTTTCAATTATTGTTGTGTATAACTCCAGTTCCAACCCTTCCCCTTACAAGATGTTTAATCAGTGATATGCGTGTTGGATATATTTTGATACAAAATCCAATGCGGAAGGGTCATATCTCACAGAATATTTTTAATTTTAAAACTTATGTCTTAATTCTTAAACCTATACCCGGCATGTCATGGAGTTTAATAACAGACTATATAGCGACATTAAAAATACTCACAGCAGTGAGATATTTATCGGGATCTTCGATATCGGCATTGCCACCAACTGACAACAGTATGGTAAGACTGGGGTAAATCTTCTTTAGAGCTGTTATGGACTTAAAGTTTCCTTTTCCGCCCTTAACATCTTTGCTCTCGGGTAAGTCCAACTTAGGATCCAACGATTTCGCTTTAAACTTATCATCATCAATACCAGCGTAACCGTACACCAAATGCGTACAATAACTTAAGGCGGGTTTTAACTCCTCGGCACCTACTTTAACAACATCTGAAAACAAAAAGTGATTCGATCAATAACAATTTTAATTTGTCGTATAAAACAAAATTCTGTAAATATTTATTCAACCCATACAAATCTTCAAATTATGAAACTTAATCCTACTTCTGAGTAATCTCTGTGTATAGTAATAATAGTAACATGTTTAACAGAAAATAATCGATTATTGGAGTTAGTTCATAAATCAAAATAATCTATCATTGGTATTACAGTAATTTAATATTGTACATATGTTTAAGATTATTTTTTTTAATATACATAGATAATATTATGATAATACTTTTATTAGATAAGGCTAATGATGCTTATTGTATATTTTATATATACCGACATCTGCTTAAAGAAATGAAATTATTATTTTAAACTTTGATATTATTCTAAATAATTCTCTAAAATCACTAATCGAGAAAAATATACGATTAACATAATGTAATAGGTATGCATATTTTAATTACGTTTAATATATTACAATCGGTAATACAACCTTTATTAAATAAACAATGGTTGCATCTTGCATGGCAAAATAATCATCATTAAATAATACCTTGATTATTTTAAAATGGTGATTTCGAAATAATTACAATTTTAATTGTTTATTTTATCAGTGATAGTAAAAAATAAATAAAAAAAATATTAACTCGTTGCCGAGAGTTCTAAGTATTAATGTAATATTGGTATTTACAGGTTTACAATTAATTACATATTTACATAAATAATATTAAGATAAGAGATAAATAATAGTTATTTGAAAACAATATAGTTTTTTTTTCGATTTTGTTTTTCTTTAGAATTCCTTAAATAATTGTCTACAAAGTTAATGAAATAAAAATATTTAATTTATAAGACTTACATTTGCATTATCTTAGATAGTTTTATTTGGTGATTTAATATTATTCTAGTTATTAAAATAATAATATATAATTCATAATAATAGTGGATTAAGTTATATTACGTTTATTATTATAACAACAAACTACAATTAATTAAAAAAAAAATATTTCAATTCTTTGGGATAGATTTAAAATGTATATTAATATAGTATAAGTATGTTATAGTATTTCTAAATCAAATTAAAAACTTAAAAACCTTTAAAAAATATAAATAATTTAATTCTAAAATGTTAAGTAAATTCAACTTTTATTGCGCGCTTAATAATAATATTAATTAATTTATATATTATATTGTAAAATAATATTATTACAAATTTAAAATAATCTATATGAATATTTCATATTATTATAAATTATGTATATAGTGCGACCCTACAAAAGTAAGAAATACACAGTGATCATTAATATTTTTTATGTAATAATCAACATTTTATTTTAAATATAAACTATAATTATTCGATATTATAACGTATTAAACACACACGCACACTTGTACATTTATATATATATATAAATGTTACAATTTTTTTATTTTTTTTTTTATAACCAATATAATAAATCCACCCCTACTATTTATACAATAGTAGGTATAATATTTTGAAATTTGTGTTAACAAAAAAAGGTCGTAGCATAAACAATGTACCTACGTACTTAGATATATTTTTTATAAACTTAAAAGTGTGTATGTGTATACCTTTTCTCCATAGAGCTCTGCCATCATAATAGCATACTGTTCTAAATGTTTGCGAAACGTCGATAATAGCCAGAAGGCCACATAGTGCGACCGCACCGGACAACTTTACGCCTAACATCGTACTACCGAAAACAAACTCGAACTGACGACCTGTTTGATTCGGACCAAAGGTCCAAGCCAAGCATGCGATTATTAATTAATGTACAATGTGCACCTACCTATGCAATAACTTTGATATATTATCATCACCCCTACTTGTTCTTTTACCACAGCCCACAGACCAAGGTCAAAGTTTAACTAGTTTTTTTTCTTCTCTGAACTCGACTGACACGTTCTGTTATTGTACAATTACATTATATTATATTTATTTCATATTCATTGTATAATAAATAAATCGTATTTTTATTGGCCTTATATCAAATCCGACTCGCAAGGCTGAAAATATAATAACCAAACAAAAGTATCTATAAACACGGGAGATTCATAAACATGTAAATTTAAACAGAGTTGTTTGTCGATTACACTGACTGTCTTGTAACCTTTGTTATCAGTGTGAAATATATTTTAATAAAATATGCATGGTACCTATCTAAAATATTATTTTATTTACAACTCAGCACGTCAAATAAATTATAATTCATTACACGTTTTTTACATTATAGTAAATGTAATTGCTTTACAATAAATCTATAATAATTCAAATTGAAAAATAATCATTTTGTCCAAAAGAAGCAAGTCAAAACTATTTGGAAGATAGCTAATTATACATATTTATTTATTTATTTATTTTTGAACATACCTACAGCATATCAAATTTATTGTAAATTGAAAATGGTTTTGTTATTTATAATTTTAATTTTTATACACTTGTCTATTGTATTTTAACTGCGTTCGTAAAGTCATAGAAGTTATAGAATTATAATTAACATAAATTAATAGGATTTATATTAGAATATAAAATACATTTTGCAAGTAATTTAATGCAATTTATTATGTAAACCGAGTAATTCTTTTAACGCAAGACACTTATTATTTATAAATACAAAGTTTTTGAAAATATTTTTTTACATAATTAGGTATAAGTTGTAAAAACAAAATTTTCTAAATAAAATATTCAAGTATGTAATGTTTCAACTTTTAACCATTTTTTTACATTATTAATACCTCATTCCAAAGCAGAATATTTTTTTGAGTACTTCAATAAATTAAATTTTAACTTTGGTAAAGAGTGGTTTATAAGTTATAACTTGTAAGTAGGGACTTCGTGTTCTAAAAATATATAAAAATGCTAAAATATGCTATTAAAAATTTTTTATTTTTCATTAAAAAAAATCAAAAACTTTTAAATTTAGTTATTATTAAATAGGGCATTTTTAATTTAATTTTCACAAAAAAAAAAAAAAACTGTAGGTATTTGTTTAGAATATTAAACTATTTTTTTTATAACTATAATAACGGCAAACGAAAAAATATACTATACTAAAAAGCGAATTGATATCAACTGACCGTATTCAGTGTATTCCATATCGATTATATTTTCACAATATGCAAATAATTGGGAAAAACACACGGTAGATGGATTATTTGATTATTTATATTTAAACATTTTAATCTATTTTTTTTCGATTTCTAGAAAACTGATATAAAATATTATATAGCACGTATAAAATATGTAATTAAAATACAAATCTAACAAAATATGAATTTAAAAGTAAAAAAGAGCAGAGTATGCAAAATAGAAATGATTCCTTTAAACTTCTAGTACTAAGGAACAAATTAAAATATTACTTAAATAAATTTTAAATTATTATTAAAAAACATACAAACTATTTAAGTCACAACTCCCTAGCCTATACTTAATTAAAAATATTCAAAGTTATGATGAGCGGAGTGGAGTAATACAGGGGCACCCCAAAAATTTATCTAAAATTTGATTTTTATAGATCGAAATACTTTGAATATTATCATGTTTAGGAAAATATGAAATTATTAAAGTTATATTTTATTTATTAATAAATAAAAATAAATTTTTTTTTTCCGAAAATAGTGTTATGTAATATCTGTTTTTTCTGTAATAATAAGTGATTTAGGTTAAATTATTACTCGTATATACTAAAAAAACATCATTTAATTACATATAAATCATAAATAGTTACAAATTATTACAAATTAAGAAAGTTACAATACAATAAGTATAATTTTATGTTATTGTGAAAATAGTAAGCATTTACCAGTATCACCCGTCGTCCACCATTATACCATTATAAATAATATCTACTAAAAATAACGGAAATAAATACATTTTTTTATGTTATATTATTTTAGGACACCATTAGTTTGATAGTTTCTCTAACTTTTTAAATTCTGCAAAATAACTAAAAAAATATACTTAAGAGATCTGTCCTCCGTGTCCCCCCTTTGAATACCCTCAGCCTCTCATATCATTCTACGTGGTACGAAGTATTGACTTACAAGTGAATAACAATAATGAATAAAATACAATAGATATTTAAATGATTAAATATAATAACATACTTATGCAATGATTGGGAGAAGATTATTCCAACACACTAATAATAAATTAAATATCTTATGGCAATATAAATAGGTACCCAAAGAGTATCTGTTCGGAATTATTTTTCATACACAATGATTTATCATTGAAATCAAATTTAACATATCCATTATGATGACCTAGGTAAGTATTCAATGTCAAGGTACATTCGAAACCTACTATTCGGCAGAGCGGACTTCCCTGATAATAAATATAGCTATAAATATATTATACATATTATATTTAATTACGTTTAATATCAATAATTTAGTATCGAATATTAGAATATTATGAATAATTAGGTATATTTTAATGATTTTATTTTTTGCACATTTTTTTTTTTTTTACACAAAACCTAAAACCATGCATTCAACTTAAATATTTCATGACATAGAGAGCAAGCAAGTAGGAACGCGCATACAATTAAAGTCTGCAGATGTCTTATTTGAACGTTCAACATAATATTAGATAGACTTGTCGACCTCATTTAAAATATTATAAAAATACAATTTAGGTCATTGAATATAACATGTGTTACATGATAATGTTATGACTTATGAGATTATTTTGTATCTCGTGTTTTTTTTTTTTTTTTATCAAAAACATGAGATAAAATATTAAAATTAAATGCGACTGTTTTGTGAGCATTACCTATTTTTTTTTTTTTTTTTTTATTAGCTTCAAATAATAAACTAATATAGCTCAACAATTAGAGAAATTACCTATTTTATACTTAAAAACTATACATATATACATAAATAAAAATGTACATATACAATTAAAATGTATAATTTACGTTTGAACTAAATTTATATAGGTAACACAGAACTAAAGCATGCATATTTAACTGCGTAGGCAAATATTTATCATCTCCATTCATAAATTCAAAAGTCATAGATATAGTTAGATACCAATTAAATGTATTAAGAAACCAGATTGCTATAAGGTATTATAATATTGTACTGTTATTAACAAAATACCTAGGTATAAACTATTAGTGCCTTATTGATATTTTATAATGCAACATATTATATATTATTAAGTTTTAACCTAAACAGAAAATCAAAAAAATTATTGCTCCGAACTCGATTTTTTATGGCTTGTATAATAAATTTATGTATAGTAAAACTCAAAAATTAAGCAACTAAAATATTGAAGAAATGGATTAGTATTGCCTAATGCAATACTTAGTTGAGAGAAGATAATGATTAATTAAGAATAAGGTACTTAAATTTACTAAATTATATACCGTTCATGAACAAAACAGTTCCAAAATGTATACGTCTAAAATTCTTTAAATGTAATTTAATGTAGATAAATAAAATAATTGCGTGGATATTTTTTAAGAAATAAAAAACATTATATACAATGCTATATTACATAACAAGTTATAATATATTTATCAATCACTTATTATAAATATCAAATCTAGATAAGTAGTCACTATTCAATTTTAACATGTATATTGTAGATATGTAGTTGTAGTTATAAATTACTTACAAATCAATATGATGTTATTTTAAGACTAATAACTGATTTTCAAATTTGTACTTTGATTGTTTTTTTTTTTTTTTTGTTTTATAATCTGAAAACAAAATATATAACATTATAATAAATTAACTTTTATAAACTATATTTACATTTATAATATTAATATTTATTAAAAATAATAATGCAATGACGTAGAACATAAATGATAAATAAGTAGGTAGTTAATAATACCAAAACCGAAACCTGAAATAATTATCAAATATGACTATAGTATATTTGTTAATATTAGTCTAATGACTATAATGTATTATTTAAATTACTCATTATTATTCATGATGATGTGATTTTTTTTTTTTTTTTTTAATTATGAGATTAATTTTAAATAAAGAGAATTTTGAAAACAAACCAAATTCATGTACCTAAACATATTAATATTTTTAGGGAAAATAGTGTCTCAGAATGTATGATTAAATATTTAAAGATTGGAGTTGTAAAAACAAGTGTATGCAATTATAAAAAATATGAGAAGGGAAACAAATATTTTATTACATAATGTAAATAATTTAGCAGGATAAATATAATAAATTGTTAAAAACAACACAAAAAATAAACTTATATTCAGAGGTATACAACCTTTTGGTAAAATAAAAAGAAACCTTGATAAACTATCATACTATAATCAGAGATGAGTCAATAAATTAAAAAAAAGAATGTGTAGACAAATAAATCATATTTACAGTTGTGAACAATATCATTATACTATAGGCCATAGGGCATAAAGTGTGGCAATAGAATTTATTAAGCAATAATTTATCCATTTATCCAAAATGAACAAGTTGGACGGACAATTAAATATATTTTTATTTAGAATACAATACCTATATTTTTATTTATAAAGGAATCATATTATAATGTTATGTATTACGAGTACTATAGTATTCTTTTTTTATGGTAGAACTTAAATAACCCAAAAATGTATAAAAGATACCAAGTGATTTTTTTTTTTTTTTATTAAGTAATACTCATTATTTCAAAGTTTAATTAAGTATTTGAAAAAAATTTTTTAAATAATTTAAAAAAATTAGACATATTTACATCGTAATAATTTTTTTGTTTTTCACTTTTTTTAAAAAAACACAAATTTTTATTTCATATTCTGAAGTAAAGTATTTTTTGAAGTATTTCGATACATAAAACACAAAAAATGGGTGAGAACTTGTGAGTTAAAAAAGTATTTTAAAATCAAAGTAGTAGACTAACATTTTACAAGGTATTCCTGATCCAGTTCACTCCACTCACTAAAACTTCAAATATTTATAACACATATCATAAATTATTCCTCAGAACTTAAATTTTTATGTATTGAAGTACTCAAAAAAATATTCTGCTTCAGAGTATGAAATTAAAAATATGTATTAAAGTTCAAAAAAGTAAAACACCTAAAAACATTCTTACGGTTTTATGTTTAAATGAAAATAATTTTTGAGTTTTAATAAACTGGTTTATTTCCGAGAATCAATTAAATTATGTTTATAATAATAGGCAATTTTTTTGTAAATTTTTTAAGAGTACCCAATATTCTGTAGAATGTAGGTTTTTATTTTAGATCAAACATAATTAAATAAGATTTAAATATAATGAGCATTGTCATTATACAATTATTGAAAATATTGACAAATACTAAGCGTTAATTAAAATATTTTTTTTTTTTAAAAACACAATATCAATATCAATGGCCATTAATGAAATGTAAATAAATATTAAATATATTACATTTCTATCAATCTATATTCTGTCAAAACAAAAATTAATTTTTAAAAAAAAGGATTCAAATCAGTTGATAATCTGCATCATCCACTCTTATAGATACATCACTGCATTTCAATGAACTCAAATAGTATTTTAAATGGAAAATTAGTACCTAAAGTAGTTTTAGGTAAACAAAAATAAGCAAGTTTAAACAAAGTCTGTATAATATTTTAGGTACAAATAAAAACATAATACATACATATTTTAATCTATTAATATAACTTGAATTTATGATTTAAATTAACATAATATAAACTTTATGATTATCATTTGCAATTTATATAAATGTGTAATACCATTTTTTAAGTAATTACATTTAAAAAATAATATTATTAGTTATTTTTTCTATAATAAATAAAAATGTTATCTACACATTTAAAAACTATTTTTTGAAAATTTTTTGTCTCTGTGTGAATGTGGCTTAAGGACTAAGGTTAACTTAATCAATAATTAAATTTATAATATTTAATAACACTATTTAGTCTTTTTTATTTATAAAATTCAAATTTAAATAATATTAATAATACTTATACTAATTGGCAGTTTTTAATAAAATGGCATGTCAATCATTTATTCACATTTCATTGATTTTAATTAAAATAATGAGTTTTTTTTTATTAATTATTATTTATTAAATTTTAACAATATTTAAAATATTACATAACCCATTTTTACTACAAAAATAAACTATTTTTAAAAATTGCAATTATTATGATTATAAATCATGAATATATAAAATACTACAATTTTAAAATGCTCATATAATGTAGAAAAATTAAAATATCATAAAAAAAGTCAATGTATAAGCACATATAAGTGATCTAGTATGGCGCAGTAGCTGGCCTCAGTCACTAGTGTGTTTTGAGGTCAAGCATCAGTTGGCGTCGCTAGCTCTCGGATGGGTGACCATCCGAGTTCTTAGTGACAAATCCATAGTGAACACACATACGCATACGTGTTCCTTACAAATAAAACAAGCCCTATACAAAAAACCAACTGTATCTATCCATAATTAATGGCCTTAGATGCCAGACTTAAATAAGATTAATAAAAAAAAACATATATAAATATATAATGTTCTTAACTATAAATGTGATAATAGGCGAGTTCATTTTGACATTAAAGCTAACAACACAAGTGGTTTTACTGAAGGCAACAGTAAACTTACTTTATTTTTAAGATAAAAACAACATACAAAATAACAATGATATAATTTAAGAAAGTAGGAATAACTGTTATAATCTTTAAATTGGTCTTGATTGTAATTTATGTAGGTAGTAGTTACTGAATTCAATTACTTCTTTGCAGTTTTATTTCAAAATGAATTAATGTAATAAATATCTCATTCGAATACTGATAAGAGATTATATTTTTCTAAATTTTATAATTTGAAACAAAATTACTTTAATAAGAATAAGATACATACTAAGCAATATTTATAGGTTAACCATATACTAAGGGTATATAGGTTAAACATATTACGATATACTAATCAAACAATGAACAATATTTTTAAGTATATTTAATGATACATAATATATTTAATGGAGTGCAATTTGAGAACTTTCTTTAAAAGATTTATTTTGTTCATAAAACATTACGTACTTTTATTAATAATGTTTAATTTTAAGATAATTTAAAATTTATTGTAAATTACACTAAAATATTGTATATACATGAATATATAAAAATATGTAATAATTTATTGAGTGAATATGATTATAGAAGGAATTTAAATAATATCCAAAGTATTCTGTTGGTTAAGCCCTTCCACCACATTGCACTTGAATATATAATACTACAAATGTACCACTGATAACATATTAAACAATAATTAAAAAATACATAACATTAACTTAACATTTATATACATTATAAATGAGTGATCTCACTTTAAATTACTCATTCTTCATCAAATTCTTAGTCTTGTGTTTTTGACAAAATTGTAGTCACCTGATTAGTATTTTGTAACAATGAAAATTATGATGTACAATTATGAATAAATCTCACTAAATTTTATTTAGGTATTTTAAATTTTAAAATCAATAATATATTTTATAATTAAAACACACTATCAAATAATTCTTATAAGATTTAAAATAACAATAAAATATACTTTACTAAGAAGGTAAAATACAGAATACAATTGATATTGAAATGCTCAAATCATTAAAAACTCAGATTTTCAATTCTATTATTTTGAGATTAAAAAAAAAAAAAAAAACACCCTACTATTACTTAATTACAAATGTTGATTCTTTTCTATTTCAAGTATGAAATTTAACAATAACACATTGATGAGTATTTTATTTTATTAAAAATACATTAAGAAATATTATATTAAGCAGATCTAATTAATAATATTTGACAAACCAAATACTTCAAAGTACATTAACATTTTATTTTTATTTATTAATTGAAAACGTTATTTAATTTAACATTAAATGTTTAACACAAAATTTTAGAATAGTTGGACAATATTAATTATTAGTAAATATACATTTTTAAGTTTAAAAGAATATATTGCACTTATTACCTTATTATAACTTCAGTTAAATAAAACTATGTATTTATTTTGATTTTTAATTAATAAAACATGCAATATTAAATTATTTTGACTAAGAAAAATAAAACAATGAAAAATATGAGATTCGTGGTCAGTTTAAGTGCTGACAGGTATGATACAATTATCAAAGCAATAACAAATATATATAAAAAATCCTTTTTAATGTAATTAATACACATCACATTTTTGTAAATAATAATCAACTTAAATTATTAGTATACAAATACATAACAATGAAACAAAATGCTCAAGCAACTTTAAGAATAGTTCCTTGATGTTAACAGCAATTCTTAGCATTATTAAATTATAAAAATATACATTTTCTCATATCAGTCAAGTCTAACTTAAAACAGTTCACTTACCAAGGTTGATTCCTCGGTCCAAAACGTGGTCCCTGATTCCATCTACCAGGATGTCTAGGATGGTGCATGGAATTTCTAGGGATTCTTGTCCAATTAGTTCCTCTCCTCCATTTTGGCCTAAAATCTCCTTTAGATTGACTTCTTTGAAAATGTTGAGGCCACTGAAGTTGAGTTTGATTGTTAACAAAGTTTGAATCACTTTGCTCTTGTTCCCACTGATTAGAATTTTTCCATTGTTCTGATTGTTCTACATTCCACTGGTTATCATTAAAAGTGGGACTCCATAATTGGGATGATTGTTCCCATTGATTTGTAACATCTGGTGCACTTTGTTGGTCAAAGTCAAAACACATTGGTGGTGGAAGAGGTGGAGGTAAAAGTATAGGATGTTTTTGATCATGGTTTAATTTAGGTTTCTCATCATCATCACTTAAATCCATATCAACACTTTCTACATTATCTTTAGGCGGTTTATTGACTGCTTCCATAAGCAGAGATGGTGGTGATGGTGGCATAGGAATTCCAGGAAATGCTCGATAATCAACATCAATAGATACCACTGATGAATTCATACATGGTGAATTTGTCAAACTTATTAAGTTTCTATGGTCAATATCAGAAGTTTTAGATATAATTTCTTGAGGAATTCTTTCATCTCTATCAATTATTTTTGATGCTAAAACACAATGATCAATTCCTGGCCCTCCATTAGATTTACTGATATTGGGAGTGTTTTGATAGGAGATTTTTTCATGAAAAGGCGGTGACGCTGGTGTATCATTTGTCGACCAATCATTATGCACACTTACATTCCAATCTGAAAATGTTGGATGAATACAATTAATAACTGTTATATCTTATCACAAACAATAAAATGAAGAAACTAATTTATTTATTTTTTTTAAATATTGAATAAAATACACAAAAAAATACGAAAAAAGACTATTAAAATAAATTAAAATTACCTGTTTGTGGAACATGAGATACTGGTAAAGTATTTTCATTTATAAGCGATGACGAATTAGTAGGAGGTACCATATTATTAGAAAATTCAGAGGTTATAAATTGCTGACTAGATAACATTGGAGTAGGTACATAAGCTTCATAATTACTTGTAGAATAAGTCGAACTTTTATCATGGTTACTCATCTGTGAAATAAAAATCTATTATAAATATTATAATGAAATAAATTAAATATATACATACATCATTAGTATATGATACATTTGTTTGATTAGGAAATGCTGAATACGCAAAAGTCTCCTCTGGAGGTGGCGATGGAGCATCATATGGAAACTGGCTAGTTAATGATTGATGATCTTGATTTTCTATGGCTGGAAAACTCACAGAAGCTGGATCATACGATTCTAAATAAAAATTAAATATTTTTCAAACAATATTGACTGAATCTAATAATGTAATTTAATATACCTTGGACAGTAGTGTACGTGTCAGGAGTAATATATGACTTAACATTATTGATAACCATACTGGGCACATAAATATCAGCATCATTTACACTATTTTCCATTGAAGAATTTGTCACATATTTATCAGAATTTAATACAGTGTCATAATTGACATTTTGTACATTTAAGTCTTCAATAGAAACTGAAGAAGTCGAAGGGGATGGTGCATTGATATCAGGTGAAGGCATTGGACTATCTGTTGGCATAGAACCAACTAGAGATTCCAATTTACTCTTTAGAAGTTTTACTCTTTTAGTGTAGTTAAAATAAGCCTGAAATTGTTTTTAAAATTAATTTCCTGTCACATGATATAAACAAACATATCATTTTTACTTGAGCAACAGTTTTAACTTCACCATTTTGTTCATCATAGTAAGACGTAGCAACTTCTAAAGCATCTATTAGTTGAGCACGATCAATAGTTTCTCTTTTGAGACATTTAATGTAACTTTCAATTTTTGACATGCCATCATTTAATTCATTAAGAAACTCATGACTCCGAGTCCGATCTAAAAAAAAACACTAGTATGTAAAATTCTTTATAATGAAAATTAAATATTACTATTTCTTAAATTTACATATACTAAAAATCTCTATAAAGAATAAAAAAAAATGACTAGTTGTTAACTTATTAAAATATAAATGCAAGTTGACAAAAGAACATCTAGTCTTTGCATCAAACCATAGAAATATATCATAGAACAATAATATTACCTTTTAACATGTTCTGTATGGCTTCATTATTAGTAAGAGGTAGATTAGCTTCTCTTAAATTCTTCATTTTCAAGTCTGTAATTTGTTCCAGTTTTACACAAGAACGTATTTTAACTGCTAATGCATGTATCTAAAAAATCATAATATACATTTAACACTATGATTTACTAATAAATACATTCAAATAATTAAGAAAATTCTAAATTCACATTTTTGAAATAAGTAATAAATAATAATTAATAATTTAATAATACTTAGGTTAATATAAATTAATATCAGTTATATACCAAAATATTAATAGTATAGCCATGTAATTCGGAGGATAACTAATCCAAAGGCAATAAATAAAAATGAAATAGGATTCTATTTCAACAAAAAATATTTTGATATAAATTTAGAATGAAAAACTTTTCAATTACTTATAGATGGGACAATATTTTTTTATTTTTTTTTTTTAAAGTATTTAAATATACATTAAGCACAATACTTATGAAAGAACAAAAATATCTTTAATATTTCTTATGTTTTACCACACGACATCTCTATTCAGATTTTAGACAATATAATCTAATAATAAGTAGATAATATAAAAGTGAATTTAATGAAGAACAAAAATTCTTATAAATAAGTAATATATGATCAACAAATTATAGTGTACAGAAAAAGAAAATGCTAATCTTTAATATCATTGAGTCACAATATTTAAGATATAACCGTATAATAAAGTATATACGATAAACACCCCCGCAATCACAGGTAGACTGCACTCTGAAGTAACATATGACATATTAGTCAAATTAAAATAGAAAATAAGAATAAAAATATTTTATAAGCTTTTATATTAAAACAATTTAAAAACCTTAAACATATTAAGTCATAAGGTAATTATAACATAAATGGTTATTAAGCATTTTTATTTTTTTTTTATTTTAGGTACAATTAGCTTTAAGTTAATATTGAAAATTATAGGTAATTTGAATATTCAAAAATGAAGTGTGATAATAATAATTGGAATATTATAAATTATTTTATATATGCAAATAGGTTATAGTAAATTTATTAAATTACTTTCTATAGTAGAATATTTAAAAAGAAATGCTTACTTGAAATTCTTGTACAGGATCAGCTAATTTTAACTTTTGAATTGGTGTAGTTAATAAACCAGTTAGATCAGCTAAATAACTATCATCATATACACCTCTTTCTTCCCAAATTTTAATAATTCTTAAAATTTTAGATTGTATTTTTTCATCTCTAAAAAATAATGAAATTCAAAAATGAAATACAGGAACATTTTTATGTTTGATACTATGTATTTTAAAAGAAACATTAAAATAGTGTTAGTATAAATTTACATTGAAATATATTTGTTAAAAGATACTTAATTACAGTTAGTATTTTATTATTATTAAATAGAAAAACTATAGCGATACCTGGATAACATCTAATTTTTACCTAATTAATTTTAGTATTAATTACGTTATACTGACACTTGTTATTAACATTAAAATTAAATAACTAGTATAACTCACCTAACATAAGGAATAGCTTTTTGAATAGCAGTTGCCCATCCATCAATAAACTTGTAATTTTTTTTCTTACTGTATTGTATGACATCATTGGCTAAATAAAACAAAGTCAAACGTTTCTCGATCTTCACTTTCCTAATAGCCTTTAACCAGATGGTAATTATGCTTTTGTAGTGTTCATGTCGTTTAAGGCACCATGTAGACAATGATTGAATTGCGTCTTGGGTGTCTTTTAAAAGCATTAGCTTCTTTTCGAATTCTGGATCTGAGTATTCAATCATTTTGACGTCTGTCGTACAAATATAATTGTAACATTAATAACACGTTTAGCCAATAATAACCAAACGTTCGCAATACATAAACTTATTTCACCCAACAAAACATTAAAACAGTTCGAAAATAAAAATAAAAAACAACCCACCTTATAGGTGTTAAGTTGAACAATAAATTAATATTATTAAAACTCTCTAATCATACTCGAGGCCGCAATAATTCAAGTTACGAATATTTTAATTCATACTAATAATTAATAAACCAAGTATGTGTAAAAGCAAAATTAATAATAGTCGAACGTTTAACGCAAAAGAAATATTTGAATAACAAAACTAAGAAATCGAAATGTTGTATATATTATAGAGTTGAGTTAGATACAGTACTATCGACAGTAAAATAGAATCGCTGAACGTGCGGTGGGGTGCACAACACGATAAGTTTAATCAATTTTCATGGAGTGCAGTGTTGAATTATGTACAGCTGATAAACGCGTTGTTGTCTACAATATATTAATAGCGCGAAAAATATTTTTAACATCTTTGGTGTCGGAAATGGCAGTAATGGCGGGATTAAAATTATTTTTCTCAACAGAACTTGGAAGAAAAAAAAAAAAAGATGGGCAGTTGAATATTTGCCATTTGGAATTCGGATACCATTTGAAATATTTGAATATTCAGTTCATCTTTCATCAGTTGTTGGTTAGTTATGTTTGTAATTACTAATATTACTGACTGACTAATAATTAGTATTTCGGAAGTCGATAGCACATACAGTTAAATCGGAAAGTTGTAGCTATTTATATTTTTTAAATAAACATAACATGTTTTTGGACTGGGTACGGATATTTTGGTTTCTCAAATCCAACCTGTTTTGGGTAACACTAAATATCATTACTTATTATATTACTTTATCCATTATTACTTGACAGTTAATGTAGTAATACTTCATACTGCTTAATGAACAACAAATATGTTCGGTTTACCTTATGATTTTAGGTATTTAACTATTCTAACCTGAGCTGAGATAGATAGATGCCTAAATTGTAAAACAATGGCGAAAAACTCAAAAGCACGTATATATGATTCATAAATATTCCTTGAATTGGAAAATATCGATTATTGGTCTTGTAGTTGGTGTACCGTGTCAGGTGTCAAGTACTATAGTGAGTAGTGGGTCACATTAATCTAAATATATAGGTATTAAATACGAATTCATTGATATAATAATATTAACATTGTATACGAAAAAAAAATATTTGGAAACGGTTTATATTTCATAATATATTTTTTGATATTGCTATTAAAGTAACTTTTTCCATAATTAATATTGGTTAATGAAATTAGATTAGATCGATTTTATGTTTGTGCAAATTTTGCATTAATCGTATTATGATCGATATTTATTATAATATTTTAAATATTTATATTATATTATGTTATGCCACCTTACAACCATTAAACAGTGTGAATATGTTCATAATAATAAGTTAATAACCATTGATTATAGAGTAGATTTTCTTATCGTATTTATTGGGATTTTCATCATGTATCATGGCCATCATGCATTTTGTTAATTGTTATTCATATCTTCCCATAAAACACCGATATTGCGATTGCTACATGTCTATTGTAAACAATTAACATCAATATCGAATTTTTATTGGATTTTTTGCATCAAATAGTTAACTTGTGTTGAATTATCTACTAAATATACACATTTATATATTGTACGCATTTTGATTTTAAATTTTAACAAAAGTTGACAAAACCCACCCAATAAATCATCTCGATAGGCGATAAACGAAATGGTTGTCTGTGGTTGAGGATTTTTTACATTATTATTCATATATGTAGGTATGTGGGTTTCTTTGTTATTTTTAATTAACAAGTGACTCGGTAGATACAACCCACACGAGTTGTATGTTTTTTTTCAACGGTGTTTTGTGTCCATGTATTATCTAGATATTACGTTTATTATTTATTGTTATAATTAGCCTTTTTTTGTGAAAAAAAAAATGTATTTGCGTATCGAATGATTTGAATGTCAGCGTTCGCGAAATGCATGATAATTATTTCATCTTCATGAATTAGAAAATATTATTTATGATAGTACCTAATACCTGCTATAAATCAGCTCTTTACGCGTAAAATGGATAATCGTGGAACGACTGGAACGGAACGTATCGAAATATTGGAAAGTAGGTATTAGTGTATTACCAGGATTAGCGAAGTAGCTGCCCTATCAAACATGTTCGATAACTTGACAGCAGACATTAAACTGCCCGAATATTATGAGATCGTTGGTGTCCACCGATACAGGCAGCTTGTCACACGCGGAAAGTGGTATCTGGTAAAAGGTGGCTACAGGTTGGACATGAATTCTGTAGTCTGCAATCGCCAATCCGAGAAAAATCCTCAATCACGTTCGGGAAGTTAATAAATAAAATAAATAATATATGTCATTACTGCGGGTATACCTATTTAATGTTGTAATTATTTTCCTAAAATTATTTATTTATATATATATATATAAATAGATTGTTAAATAATAAAATCATAAATTATTCTATTCTAATTATAAAATTGATGTGTATTATGTAATTTTATGAGCAGGGTGAAATTTAGGATAAAGTATTCCCAACGGCGCAACGACTAAACGCGAAAAAATGTATAAATAAATATTAGTATCTAAATTCCAAGTATAGTAATTGCGTTTAATTACTATTATATTATAAATTATTATTAGTTTGATTTTCCTAGATTAATTATTATTATTAATCTGGAATTTCATTATTGAACAAGAAGTTTCTAAAAATTATTTTGGATTTTAATTGGGAAACTTAATAGCTATTATTAGAGAGAATGACTATAAATATTTTGAAATATAAAATTTAATAATTGATTTTCTTTTTAACAATAATTAAAAATTAAATTAAAGGATAATTGAAAATAAGATGTTTGTTTAGTCATTTAGAGTAAAAATTAACAGTATCAATTGAAATTTTGATGAAGTATAAGATATAAAGCACCTATTAAAAACTTTCATTAATTTTTTTGATTGAAATTTTTTAATACATTTATAATAATTAGATTTTAAAATTTATAAAAAGGTTGACGAAACTGAATACCTATTCATAATGTTTAAAACAACAATTTCTTGAACGATTATAGTTTTTTTGTAATTTAAAAAACATATATCATAAAGGTTTAAATTATCATAATCTATGTTCAAAACAATAAAATTTTAAAATAAAATTAAAAAATATTATCAAATTATAATACGATTATTAATTTATCCCTGTTTTATGATAAGTCGGTATATTGACAGCAAAGTTAGAACAAATAATATAATTTCAATAATTATTAACAACATAATATATGCGATATTTTTGCATCTAGTATACTAATTAAATTAATATAATATATGGAATAATTTTGGGAAAATTATATTAACCTATCGTTAAATTTTTTTAAATAAAATATAACGATTTGAAAATTCTTTGCAAAATAATAGGGTAAAAGTATTATTCTAGTGATTTTATTTAATAGGGCGGTATATAATATGTACCTATATATGACTATTATTTGAATTAATTTTAAAAAAAGCATTTTATACGTATAAAAATTGTTTTCGTTCAGAGTTCGAGTTTCATTTTTATTAGTTTTTAACAAATAGTAATTATAGTTCAACATTTAAAGTTTATAACATACATAAATAATTGGAATATACATTAATTACATTAATAACACTAAATCATAAAATGATTGGATTTCAGTTATATACGTGAAAATATACTTTATTAATTATTATCCGCTTCAGAAATGCACAGAAAAGAGTACGATTTTAGTCTTTAGAGGACTTTGTATTTTTATTTTAGACTTCTTAATTAATCTAACAGTGACTAGTGATGCAACCATTTGATAAGGAAGTTTATTATTAAAATAAAATGTATAGATAATTGTAAAATATTTAACATCTACCACCTACGCTAAAATCACGACAACGCTATAAATCATTGAAAATATTGATAAAAACGAGGCGTAACTATTATAAATTTGTTTTAATATATTCTTTACACAAATATTATTAAGTATTGTCTGGCGTAGAGTATAGGCAAAATAAACACATCACTGAAGTGTTCTCTATCGATAATAATAAAACAAAATTAAAGCAAAATGTATCATATCGCAAACACCCAAATCTCCACTAATCAGAATCAACTGATGTACATAAATATCTATATACAGTCGTATGTGTGGATCGAGTTATCACATTTTCTCGGTGAACGAAGCATAAGTATGATTTATGTATCCGCGATATTATGTACACACTACACAGTAAAGTACAATAACATATTATAAACACAACGAAAAATCGTCGATAAGACGACAAGGAGTAATAGTCTATGAAAAATGTTTAAATTAAAATATAATGCAGGTACAAAAACATTATCACATAAATTCCAAAATATTTTTAGTATAGATGTCACCGAGTTGATAAACGTAATTAACGGGTTAAATTTGGATTCAATATGATTAACAATAAAATCGTATGTACGGCGTTTATTTAATCATCCAATGTAATCAATTGAATGATCATTTAATTCGTGCAATTCGTCCCATCCCGCAGACCAATGTAAACGTCAGACTTTGAGGTGTTTGTGGCGGAGGAGAGCGTCCGGATTCAAATATACCTACCTATAATTATTAACCAGCCGTTAATAAAATATTGATATCCGTCTAAGTTTCCGGGACATAAAAGAACTTCCACGCGTACGTTAAACGCTATTTAAATAGGTTGACGTAAATATATCATTGTTGTACGACCTGAACACCAGTGAAACGACGATGCCGTTTGAGTTATTCGGGTCTCGGATTCGCGTATATTTTATTACAGCGGGCGCTCGGGACTAAAATATGCGTTTGTGTGTTACCCGTGCACTGTGCAGTAGATTGTTCGAAGCAATAAATATTTATATCAAGTCCAAAAAGTAAATTTAAGCCCCAAATGAATACAGGAAAACAAACCTCAAACATCAAATCTTCCGGTGAAATATAGTTGTGTCATTTAAAAAGAACGCAGACGCGTGCAATATATTATTATATACGTACCTACACACATCACCGCTGAAAGTACGACTTTCTTCATCCGTGTTTATCGCACTTTGAACTGGAAGTGTTGCGATATCCTATGAAAATAATAACCCCGACGAGACGTAATATTATACAAGTACATGTTATAGATTTTAAACTTCTGTTTAACAATTCAACCGTTCATCGTTGGGTTATATCATTCATTTT